AAACAGCAAGTCGACGGGTGTTTTGGATGCAGCAGTGAATTCAGATGTGGCAAGCCAAAATACAACCACTGTACCTTCATCGTCTTCTCTGTCTATGTCATCGTCAAAAGATTTTCATTCAAGTACTTTGGCCATAAGTAGTTCGCCATTTGAGGTACTGAGCGCCGGCATGGCAAACAAGCAAACTATAACCCCCTTAACGTTGGTCTCATCTGTGCTGGTGACGTCATCAGTTCTTGTGTCAACATCAGTTGTTCCTTCAAGCGCTCTATCCAGAAGTGATTCATCATCTGTCGCCATAATGAGTTCGAATCTGATCACAGAACAAGGTACATTCGCAGTGACCTCAGTTTCTTCCATGCTGCTGTTGTCATCAATTTTTTCTCTAAGCAGGTTAAAACAAGTCCATTTGTCATCTGTTGTAGTGAGCACTACTCTGGCAATAGATAAAAGCACGCCTGAAACACCCTCACCGTCTTCTATGCTGTTTGCATCTTCAACAGTGGTGTCGCAACAGTCAGGTACGTTATTTTCAGATGATCTCTTCGAGAACATTACAATCGAACCTCCACGTGCGACTTCCTCTTTTTTAAACGACATGCTCCTCTAAGCGACCATGTATGCATGTATAAGCGACCGCGACTACCTTTTGGCTGTAGGGTTAATAGTTTTCCGTTGTTTTTGACCCCTTGTAAGCGACCACTTGACGCTCGACCACTCTTTGTTCGTTGTATTTACCACGCCACTCGGAGTATATGAAGAAATGCCATTAACAACATGGAACAACACGTATACGTAACTTAAAAATTGCATGCAATAGACCTTATTCACGATGGGATAAAAAAGCGATTTCATGTGGTTTCTCAAGGGGCAAACAGGTGATAAATTTTTCCAATACAAGAAATCGCAGTCAAGTTTGTTTACTCTTGACAACAGAAAATGAATAAGTTTTTTATTAAAGACGATAATGACAAAGTATAGGTGGAAGTGATCGTTACTTTTTTTTTAATGGGGTAGAGACCGAAGATGTCATCGTAGCAAGCAATAATGACGCTAATTTTGCCGAAACTCAAACCGTACATTTTGCGTGACTGAATCGAATTGTTTTGAGAGAATAAACAAAGTGGACCTCGATTTCTCGCAACGGCAAATTTTATCGTTTGTTTGCCCCCTGAAGTACCACGTGATATTTGCTTTTATCCCATCGATATCAATCCTAAAGCGCGTGCAAAGATGGTGGGTATCGTAAATAAGGTCTATTAACTCTCTGCTCTGCCAAAAAGGAAGATGTATAAACCTGTTCTCGGAGGACGCCCCCTGTGGTTTAATGCTCGTTTATTGAAGATTAAGTTTTACAGCGTCTTTACCAGGCAGAGTACAATCCGTGCCCAATTTCTTTCTACAAGAAGATAATCTGCATCTAGAATAATCTGGCCCAGTAATACAACAAATAGAGCTACCTCTCGTTGAACGGATATAGCCGAACCAAGTTTTAAGTCATCTGACTCTGAAAGAATAGAATGCTTAACAGCAATGAGGAATCTCAATATATTTTGTAGAAACATTGAGAGAATTGTAAACTTTTATAAGAGAAAATTTCTGGTGATTAGGTTTAGATGCAAACTTCGTTTGTATTGCACCGGACAAATGGAGGACAAACTTTCGACCGGCTGAATATTCGTGCGTTTAGGAGATCTGTTAACAGAACCGGTCAAAAATTTGAACGCCACAACCTAGGTCAAACTTTTAGCCGGTACGGCCAAAAACTTGACCAGCGCGATCTGAACACCATAACCATGGCAGTTAGGGTGCAGATTCCAATCATTAGAAGGATTCCGGATTCCTCGAGTAGAATCACAGATTCCAAATCCCGCGATTTCGCATTCCACAAGCAAATTGTTTCTCTGATTCCGGTATCCCGAACACATATCTTATATGGAGGGAAACAACAGCTATAAACAAACAAACAAAAACAATTACTTTGTATGGAGCTCCTGTAGATCGATCTCACACTATCAGGTCTATATAAGGCAATTTCAGTACTTACCAGACGATCAAAAAATTGACTCAGAAAATATTGACGTATTACTGCTTGAAAATGTAAAAGAGCAAGAGAAGAATAACGAAATGCCAAAGGGAGCACGATTGGGTAAAACTGAACAAGATATTGCATTCAGGTAATATGAAGAACAAGTTTGTTTCAAGTTGTACGAAAGTCGGATGTTCGGGAATCATCAGTTGTTGTGTGGAGATGACAATTTTGTCAGCCAAAGAGGTATTTTTCTTCAATTTGAAGTTTAAAGGCTCAGAGTCAACAGAGAAAGATAAAATTACCGAAAATACCGTGGCTTAACGCCCTAAAATTACCAAGAAATACGGGATAACACTTGTGCTGGAAAAGTATTGTAATACTATTCGTAATCGATGGCAGGAAGGAAGATGGTTTGTCAAAATACAAAATACTGCTTACTGACAAACCATCTTCCTTCCTGCCATCGATTACGGCTTAAAAGCCCCCTTATTAGTCAAGCATGACAACTATATATCTACCTTAGTATTTCATTAAAGCTTATACACTTAGCCGTTTTCAGATGCATTCTGGGATATTAACACGAAAGTAAAGAAGTGCTTTCGAAAATATTGTAGGACGGGGAAGGGGAAGATCTGCTTTACCAAGATATTAAGGTGTTAAAAAGAAAAAAAAAAAAGTTTGGAATATTTTTCAAAATATTCTCCAAGACATATGTGTAATATTTTTTTTACAGTCTGTTCAAATATGGCAACCTTGAATGAGATTTCAGGAGTTATCACCAGTCCTTTCTACCCCAGACATATGCATTATCCTGAACCAAAGCTGCAGTTGGGAAATTAGGGCAAGAAAGGGGAAACGAATTTTATATACTATTGAAGACATGGATTTTTCTTAGTGGTGCAGTAGAGTATGGTTAGAGTGATATTATTAGAACGCCAATAAAAAGATTTCTTTAAGATTGATTTCGAACTCGCATACTACGAGTTTATTTCTTATCTTGATGGAACCAATCGATATATATGTTCGTACACCATCGTAGCTCCCTCGTAAACTATACCCGATTTCAAACCAAAATGGGCAAAGTTTATAGCCGTTTTCAAACCAAAACGGCGCAAAAACCAAACCAATTTTCTTCTAAAGGATAATAATTCTTTCTAGAATAATTTGAATAATCACTCTCGGTTTCCCCATTTTCCCTCAGTTCCTCAATCTGTCTTGCTTACTTTGCTTTATATAGTGAAGATCCTCTCTGGGCCATGGCCATATATTTTTAGATTTTCCCTGCTTCCAGGTTCTTGACCCTGAGAAAACAAATTTTGTATAAAAACAGGTGTCTTAACCACCATGTAACCCCTTTTAGTTGAAAATAAACAGCACAAACAGCTGATCGATCGCACAAAGCCGGATGATGTACACTTCCTAGTTTCCAACAGTTCCTTCTTATTACCATTTTGATTTATACGGCGGTATTTTAACCAAAAATTTAACCATTTTTCTATTTCTTCTTCACTATCGACTTGATCGTCCGCCGTGTTAGTTATTTCAAATTTGCAACAAGAACCAAAGGGTTACTTCCAGGCAACTTCGGGTTTTTTCTAACTTGCGATCAGCAGGTTAGTTTTTTTCTGGAATATGAAAATTATAGAGTTTCTTTGTTTTTTTTTTTAGCTCCATTTTCGCTGAGGAAAGCTCTCATGCAAGAGCCAAACATGCACGAGAACAGTCATGTTTGCGTGTAAACTTCCTCGTATAAGAAGATCGCGAAAGCAACGCGATAAATACTAGCCTCTTGCTGGGCATAAAAGTATTTTCTGTACCAAACCAGAGACTAAGGGCCACTAGTTCATCAGATTTACTGTCATCTGTCTAATGTATAATGTTTTTTTATCTTTTTATTCTAATGTACACATCGCTTTTTCTTATCTTCTTGTATCTTAAAATTTTAATTCGTCGTGTTTATTTTATTAGTCCTAAATATTTTAATTACGATTGAGGGTCAACGAGGATATAGTTCAAAACCACTAAAGCATAGCATTGTTGAACGTATTTTAGTATTCAAACGGTAGATACAGGCATATTTTTATCCCCTAAAAACTTTTCATCTGTTCGGATTTCCTAGCTGAAAGTCTAGTGATCCGAAGATTATAGGGATAAAAACTTACCTTCTCGAAAATTTCAGCCAGGAAAAGGCTCCCGAAAATTCTAGGTGGCCTTTTTTAGGGTCAAAATCCGTTAAAAATGGGTAATTATACCATTTTGTAGATGTTCGTAAATCCTAGGAGAGGCAGGCAAGCAAGAAATTTTACAACAAATAATCCGAAGATTCTAGATCTCAAATCGTCTTCCGAACAGATATTTTCCCGAAAATTGCCGTTGGGTGCCCCTGAATAAAGTTGTTTCTTACTTACATTCGAATAGGTCCTAAAACTGGTTCGTCCAGTGAAGCATCCCAGGGGCTCTCTCGCCTGACCTTGAATACTTTTGTAGGGGTTCCTTTTTGGTTTTGACTAAACTGACCGACCCTGGGTCCCCAAGGATTTTTTTTTACCAAAGAAATAATTATAATTATTTTACAAGTAATAACGGACATATTTCTCACAATTAATGTTGTGTTGTTTGTCAATTTTCCTAATGTTGTTCACATGGGCTTTGATAACAAAGAAAGACAACCTAAATAACAGAACAATTTGTTATGCCAGAGTTAGCGCAGGCGCCTAATACCCACTAAAATGTTCTTTTGAGTCCCGGAACGGACTCTTAAAAACAACGTAAAAGGGCAGTCAATTGCCTCTGACTTGTTCACAATATAATCTCGACAATTTAAAAAACGTTATTCCAGACACAAACCAAAAAAAGGTTCTGCGCATCCCAAAATTATTAAGTTCTTCCGTCCCGCATTTGGTTTTGATCTAATTCCTTCTTTCTACTTACACTCGGTCCATTTACAGTGATTGCAGTGTGTCCCAGTATGGCAACCCTGAATGAGACATCAGGAGTTCTTACTAGTCCTTACTATCCAATGAGTTATCCTTCTAACGAGAAATGCAGCTGGAAAATTATAGCAAGTAAAGGAGAACGGATTTTGTTGTTCATTGAAGACATTTCTATTGCGGACTGTGGTTCATCTTGCACGTGTGACTACTTGGAAATACAAAATGGCTCATCCTCTGATGGCATTTCAGACAGGCGAAGATGTGGCGGTGAAGACCGTGGAATAGTATACCATTCGGTAAAAGATGTCCTGAGGGTGACGTTTGTTTCTGATAGTGGTCCTCGCTGGGGTTTTCGTGGATTTAAAGCAACTTACATTAAAGTGAGATATAATGCAACAAACACCGGTAAGTTATTTATCCCTTCTTCCACTTTATTAAACATATATCGTTCTCTTGTACAACCTTACTTGTCCTATGGTATAGCCGTCTAGGGCCAAGCTGCTGCTACAAATTTGGAGAAAATTGTAATGCTTCCTGCAAAACGTGCCCTTCGATTGATTCATTTCAAACCCTTTAGGTTCCACGCTGTACCTCTGTTCAAATTGTCTAATGTTCTCCCTCTTAATTTTCGTTATTTTCAAACAATCTGACTTATTATGCAAGATGTATACTCATTCACCTATTCTTCAAAAGTACATCATCGTAATACACGATTTTCTGCGGCTGGCAATTTCTATATTAAGCACGCGAGAACTGCCCATATGAAGAGCTCCTTTTCAAGAATTGGTGCAAAAATATGGAATGTACAGTATTCCCGACAGTGATCGTGCTCTACCTAAATATAAATTTAAGAATACCCTACAGAGTCAGCTACTGGATATTTTGATACGGGAGGATACTTATGTTGGCGTGGGTACTTTAATTGACATATTTAGTAAATATTAATTTTTTAGTTTAATTTCACTCATACCTTGTTTCATTTACATATTTTAAAGTATATGTATTCACTGCCTAGTTGATTTAATATGTTGATGTTCGTGTATCTGTTTAACTTAATTATTATGACTCAACCCTATTATTGTAACTTTTTTACTTTTCCTTCCCTCCTCGATTAACTATAGGCTACTTTGCAGGCAAGGATTATTTATAGCTTGTATCAAAAGTGTTTTTATGCCTTCCTTCACTCTCAAACATATTAATTAAGGAGATACATTGCCTGAGCTTGTTTACTGGGCTCATTATCAAAGAGATACACCATATGGAGTAAAATGGGTAAGGGCAAAGGCCCAAAGCCGCCTATATTTAAATTTCAACATTCTATTGTCTGAAAAACATACTTTAAATATCAGCCCAGTAAAGGTGAGGGCACAAAAAAACGCCTAAACAAAATTATATATATTTATGTATAAGCTCGACGATAATACGTATCAGAGAGGTTGGGAAAAGGGGAGGAGGTGGGTAAAAACAGAAAGCGTCTTCACTCGATGAAAGTGTGAAAAGAATGATCAGCAATCGATACTCGCCTCGATTTCAAACGAGCTCAACTCCCTGGAGAATAATAATAATAATAAAATAATAATAATAATAACGAATATTTATACAGGATAACCCTTCAGTGCAAGAGCACTGTTATCAAAGGGGTCCTGTCATAATAACATAATATAAGGATAAAAACTAAAATAAGATAAGAATGACTACGCAACTAACTAACTACACTATACAAAAAATTGATCTAAAGACTCCCTAAATAGTATCCTACAGCTAATTTGCTTGATTTTTAAAGGTAAAAAATTAAAAGTTGAAGCACCTAAAAAGTAAAAACTTTTCCGAGCAAAGTCAAGTTTCACTTTCGGCAAAGCAATGGTGGTCCCGCTGTTCCTCGTATTAAAATCGTGGATTAAAAGATTAAAATAATCTTTGAAAGGACTACAAACATTGCCTTTTAGGCAATCAAAAACAAATAAACAAGCCTTTTTCTTTAAAAAATTTTCAATTGAGGGTAGACGGAGTTCACAGTTTAGACATTTTGAGTTTTGCAGAATAATCCTGTGGCTTCGTTGTTCCAGGGTTCTTATTTGGCACCTTCGTGTCTCTGACCAACTAAGCGTAATTTGACCGCAATAAGTAAATATGGGCATTATCATTGCTCTGTAGATTCGTTAAGCGCTTAAGGTGTCAGTGTTAGAACGGATTCGTCGTAATAAATTCACTCTTCCTGCAGCTTTCTTGTATGCTTTGTAAAAGTGCATGTCAAGATTTAATGTAGGGTCCAGATAGACACCTAGATACTTGTAAATTGTAGTCGTGTCAATACGAGATCCATTTACTGAGAGGTTTAGTTCTTTGCCATCGAAACCAAAATATGCTAAAAATGTCCCACCCTAATCCATCTAATATGTCCCGGATGTTGTCACGCCAACTTTCTTTTCAGCGTCACACATTCATAGAAAAGATATACTAAACAACAGTTCGGCAAAAAGGCATAAAAATTCTATTTGCAAGCAAATATTCCATTTAATAAACTTGAACTTGAACTTGGAAATCGGCTTTAAACGCAAAGTTAAAGGTTTATGTGCAGGCGATCAGGTGATCAATTTTCAGCAAGTTATATAAAACATTATTGCCTTATAACAGGAATATAGCAACGGTACCATTCAAATACTTTACGGAGTACAACAACACAAACTAAAGTGCCGATGAAACGCTAAAAATTTTTATTCGCATGATGTTAACAGTGTTTTGCTTTGTTTTTTATGTTTATCTATTGCAACGCTTTCGATTAAATTGTTTTTTTTTTTGGTTCACAGAAAAAAAAACTCTTTGATTTTGAATTATAAAGCTAAATCATGTTTATTTCGCCTTGTTTCAGCTTGTACCTCCGGCAAATATCTTAATGGATTTAGTGGATTCTTTTCAACTCCAAATTTTCCAAGTAACTACCCTCAATACAGCAAATGTACCTGGAATATCACAGTTCCCAGCGGGTACATCATTAAACTTAGCTTCCTCTACTTTCGATTGGAGCCATATCAGTACATTCCCTGCTATAATGCTCCAGAGGCCCGTGTTACAGTCACAAATGTTGCTTCAGATGATGGGTATCAGCCGTTCATGCTTTGCGGTCAGTCACTTCCTCATCCAGTGTACTCGGTAGGGAATTCCGTTCAAGTCATATTCACGTCTCTGAACAGTCAATACCCAGGGTTTAATGCAACTTACACGGCTATCACTTATAGTTCAGGTACTTGGTATACATTATTTATAAGACATCAACGATTGAGTTAAGATTAAAAAAACATCACCAATAACAACTCGCCCTATAAAACGTGATCCAAGAAAGTCTTGGATTCTGGATTCCACGCTGTGGACTCTGGATTCCAGGAACTGGATTCCGGTTGTCAGTGGCAGTTAGATTCCGGATTTCAATCATAAGAGGGATTCCGAATTCCTGGAGTAGAATTGTTCTACCGATTTTGGTATTCGAATTACCTTACATTGGGGGAAACGACAGTCATAAACAAACAGAAAAATTTAAAACAATCAGATTTTATGGAGCTACTCACACTATCAGGCAATTTCTTCGGTACTTACTAACGTATTACTGCTTGACAATGTAGAAGAGCAAAATAGGAATAACGAAATGCCAGAGGGAACACGATTGGGTAAAACCAGAAACCCATAAGGGGTTGAAACGTCTAACTCTCATATGTTTGCCTTGTCCGATGCTCGTAATTATTCATTTTCGAAAGTACCATATTTGGAACGAGAAGAAGAGATAACTGACCAATCAAACTTCGTAAACAACGTAACGTAATTTTACGTCATGTTCCCGCGCCCGCTTGAAAAAAATGGCCGCCAAACGGGGGAAAAACTCCCGAAAGCCGAGAAAGCTTTCAAAGGTTGAAACCAGGAATCTTACCGAAACACTAAGCAGGATATTATTGCCTTACCACCCGGGCCAAACATAACATTATGAAACCCGTTGACAACGCAACTTCTTGAAGTTGTCACTTCAAAAAACGATGACCGTTTTTTCGTTGACCCTCTTCACAGTAAATTTATACTGCAAATAGGTTTTTAAAATTCTTATATTAAAAGTCTAGAATAAACAGTGAAAAATATTTTCGAATAAAATTCATTAGTTACGTATTGAAAAGTGTCCAAAACCTGAACCTGAGATCTTCACAAAAAGTGATGCGTATAATGAATGTGGAAGCATTTAAGCTTAAATTCAGGTTGAGCTGATGTTGTAGTCACGATCGTGTTTTGAGCCAATTTTATGAATGAACAAACTCAAAACAATAGACAGAGAAGCCGTTTCTTAAAAAGGTTTATTCAAAATCCAAAAAGTTAATCCTTTAACGCAATTCGGAAAACACTATCTGGATCGTGGATCCGTTCACGCAAGTGAAATCGGCTGAGCATATGGCAAATTAAACACAAAATCCATCTCAAATTGGGGCACACTTTGTAATTTTTCTTTAGCGCCGAAGAGAGAAATTTATAAAACGTCTATGAAACATTTAAAAATACGTAAATTACCTTTCAAAAACGTAACTGTCTTGGCCATAGAGTGCAAAATGTACCTGAAAATTCAGCAAAAACTTCACTGCCTTGGTTGCATTTCAAAACAGACCATGCGCTCCGTCGAGAAGAAAACAAGTTTGAATTCCTCGAAGGACAATTTCTCCACAAAAAGCTGAGCATTCTTTTGAACTTTTTCTTTCCATTTTTTTTCTTTCAACGGTGTATTTTTAAACTTGAAATGTAGAACTCTTGTCTTAAAACATCTGCATGGTGATCGCGAGGCAGCCATTTGTTGAAAATGGATATCTGTCACTAAGGTTTCCAAATATGGTAAAAGTGAATATTCACGAGCATTGAACGCGAGTTACACGTTTCAACCCCTTATGAGTTTCTGGTAAAACTGCATTCATGTAAATTTTGAAGAACAAATTTGTTTCAAATTTGTCTTTATTTGTACGAAATTCGGATGCTCGAGAATCATCAGTTATGTGGAGATGACAATTTTGTCAGCCAAAGAGGCCCCTTACGCCAATTTTGAAGTTTAAAGCCCAAAGTTAACAAATTAAGAAGGATAAAATTACCGAAAATACCGTGGCTTATAAACTCCTTAAAATCACCAAGAAATACTGCAAAAAAATAGTGTTGTAGTAGTAGTATTCGTAATTGATGGGAGGAAGAGACATGTTTTGCTAACTAGCAGTATTTTGTATTTAAGCCCCCTTATGAGTCTAGCATGACAACAATATCTATCTGAGTATTTCATGAAAGCTGATTCACTAAGCCGTTTTCAGATGGATTCTGGGATATTGAGACGTCAGTAAAGAAGTGCTTTCGAAAATATTGGAGGAGGGGGGAGGGGAAGAGTCTGCTTTACCAAAATATGAAAGTGTTAAAAAGAAAAAAAATTCTTTGGAATATTTTTTCGAATATGCTCCAAGAGATGTGTGTAATATTCTTTTACAGTCTGTCCAAATATGACAACCGTGAATGAGATTTCAGGGGTCATCACCAGTCCTTTCTACCCCAGATATAGTCCTTATCAGAAACAAAGCTGCAGCTGGGAGATCCGGGCAAGAAAAGGAAAACGAATTGTATTTACTATTGAAGCTATCATGAAGTTTCATTGGTCGTGCGCTGCAAGATTGTATTGCTTGTGCTTTTATTTGGAAATTCAAGGAGGATCCATTTCAGGCTACGATGGTCCCAAGTGGCGTTTATGTGCCCCTCTTTTTACAGCCAACGCAACGTACGATTGGTTTAAAGAGCGAATTAAAGTACTAGTTTTCTCCGACGGTAGTATAGGATGGAGCCCTAGATTTAGAATATCATATACTCAAGTAAACTTCAGTGTATCCGGTAAGTAAATATTGCCTATTCCTGTTGTGGAAGTGAAAATGAGAAAACCTTGACGCCAAGCTAAGGATACATCATTCACTTAAGATTCAGATAACGACAAGTTTGTTTTTTTGCTTTTTGCTTTTGTTAGTTTGCTTGCTTTTAACATTTGGGCAATTCGCTTAATATCATCTGGGTGGGGCAAACACCCCATTTTCTCTGTGTCATGTTTTGGTTGGTGACTAGTTAACTTAGACCCCACATGGTGACCTAAAGGTCTGAGTTTCAGGCCTTTCTGGAGGAGAGGGGAAGAGAAGCGAAGGGGAGAAAGTGCCTAATCTAAAATCTCTTCTCTCCAATAAGCTATGGAATGCCTATTACTCAGGATACATCACTGCGTCACTTTTGATCCTCTCTTAGGATGTTCCAACTACACAACCCTCAATGAGTCCAACAGAGCAATGACATACAACAGACGTATTTCTTACCTATGCGATGCAAATCTTAACGGATGGTACAGATTTAATGGAGAGGCTGGAACGCAAATGGCTGACTCTTGTGTCAACATGTATCATTGCGGGACGGAGTCACCTGGATGGCTCAACGGAACTCATCCCGACTTAAATGATGGGGCCGTTAAACGCCAAGTGTGTTTTAGCTCTTTCGACAACTGTTGCCATTATTCAGATGAAGTAACTGTACAAAACTGTGGAGGATTTTACGTCTATAAACTTGAAAGACAATTCCAATGCAATCTGCGTTACTGCGGAAACGGATTGCGGTATGCACAAGGTATTAACACAAAACAAAATAAAATAACAATAACAACAATTGTAATATCTCAGTGTTTGGTAGGTGTATTTTCATGCATTTTCCCATCAATTTTCAAAAATTCATGCCTTGTTTTCCGGTGAAATTGCATTTTCCAGCAAAATAAGAATTAAGCAGTTTTTAAGAAAATGATATTGCAGCAACTATGGCTCATATAATAGTAACTGACACTGAACAAGTAGACAAGAATTTAACAGATTGTGTTACAAGGAGTTTTCCTTTCTTTCATAGAATGTTACAACTACAAAGTTCTTAACGAGACCAGCAGATCGAAAACATATAATGGATCTTATTATCAATGCGATCGTATGCTGTCGGCCGACTGGTACAGATTTGTTGGGGCAGCTGGAAATCAAATGGCAGAGTCTTGTGTCGATAATTCTCATTGTGGTGCATATTACTCTGGTTGGCTCAATGGAAGTCACCCTACAGTAAACGAGGGGGCTGTTCAAAGAAGAGTTTGTTTCAGGTATTACGACAACTGTTGCGATTTCCCGACTTACATCAGAGTCCGTAACTGTGGTGGCTTCTACGTTTACCAACTAAAGCCGTTCATTGTATGTCAGTCACGTTACTGTGGCAACGGATACGTATCATCGACACCAACGACGCCAGGTACACGTTTTCCTTGTTTCTTTTTTTCTTGTTTTAATGTCCTTTTCGTTCTACGGATAACGCATTTGGCATTAATCGATGAAATGAATAAAGAACACATTGCTTCCCTTCAAATGGTGAAATTGAACGGCAGCTATTCTATTGCCACCCTCCCCCCCCCCACAAATCAACCCTCTAGTGGGAGAATTCATTCACAACCCTTAACGACAACTGTATGCTTGAAATATTGGTTTTCAGTCCTGAAAACTCTAAGTGAGCTTAAAATCTTCAATCTACACCACTAAGAGAGGCTTCAACGGAGGGAAACAGCTTCCCTCAGCAAGCATAAGTGAATCATTGTACGTTTCTTGGAAACTACCTACCGACCCCTCCCCTAAGCCAACATTAACACTTACTTCTCACTTAAGGAAAAATGTTGGTTTAGGGGAGGGGTAGGTGGGCGGCCCACCTGATTCTGGAATCTGCTTATCTGGAGCTTACTAGTTTTTCCTATTTTGCAACTTTACAATTTTGCCAAACACAGAATGTACGCTCTTGGCTGAAGCGTTGACGAAAACTGCTAAAAAACATAATATAAAGTAATATCTTCATCCCACAAAAAAATGATATATACTAGTTTGTCCCGCGCAGGCAACAATTTAGTGGGGGGAGGGGGAGGGACAGGGGGGCACAATCTCTCGCTTCCCATACCCCGTCCTCCCCCCTCCCGTACTTTTGTGTCCCTTTGTCTCCCAACTCCCGCCCTTTATTGCGTTTCTCCCGTTATCATGCAAATCACGATGTTTGACTCCCTATTCTAGTAGGGAGTGCTTTAGCCTTGTCCGAAATTAAAAAGGTGTGTTGTAAATCGAACCACTCCTCACTCTCCAGCGCGATCACTGAAGCGGCATTCCTACGACACAAGTTTACACCAAGCGGCAAAATCTTCAGTGTCTTGTAAACTACAGTCGTACGGAGCGAGCTCCCACAGAAAGGTCTTCCATGGACGGATTTTTCCCCATCACACCGAAAAATACCGAGACCGATTAAAATGGTCTTTGACGACATTTGACCTTACTCGCTTTGTCGTTCTTACGGAGAATTTCGACAGCTTGCGAGACAGACGAGACACTGACACAACCGGCACAGTCGACACACGTGTACACGTGTCATATGCAATCTCATCCATGTTTTATGACATAAGAGGCTTGGAAAAGTCTTCAATTTCACAGGAAGTAATGCTGTTTTTTTTTTTTTTTCTTTATCCCGAGTACGAATTTTCGTTTCTTGACTTTTCTCGTGTATAAAATGTTGCGTTAAGCCTCGGAAAACGTTAAATGGAAGTCAAGAAACGTTGTTGGGTTCGTTTCTTTGACTGGATGTAGGCAGTAACAAACAACGAAAGCTTGCCTTTTTGAGCTTCTCTCCCGCTTCCGGCCATCGTAGAGATCCCGCATCCCGCCCTTTCTTCTCCCGTCTCGGTACTCCTCCCGCCCACTGTTCTCCCGGGTTCCCACCCACCTGCCGCCCCCCACCCCCCAACAATTTAGTGATTGTTTCAAGCTTGCTGAGGACATCAATCACTATCAGTTGGCCAATGTTGTTGTAATTAGTGGTTCCGTACAGAAATACATTTTAATCCCACGTTTCTGAAGAGAAACTAATTTCTTTGTTTTTGTTTGTATATTAATTATTTGTTCATCAGAGTTACCACACACAACCACCACAAAAGTAACACCTGCAAGTAAGTATCCTATGAAGATTAAAGTAGAATAGTGGTAAGTTTCTGATTCTACACCAATTTAGGGTTCGCTTTTAAAAAAACTAATACTTTTGTTTTCTCCCAGCAGGGGCATCGAGCGCCACAGACGCAGAAACAACACCCACAAGTAGGTCTTTTCAGGAGGCTAGGCATCTTTCCAACTTTAGTTAAACGCTATGGAAAAACAGCCGAACCTCCCGTAAGCGACCATCCAAAATGCACAGGCTATAGATTTCGTGGTCGCTTACCAGAATTGAACCACAAGTGGCCTCTTCGTAAAAGAGCTCTGGACACCTCTATTTTGGGGGGATAATTAACAATTATTCTTTGAAATCGAGGTGAATAGTGGCAAAATATTTGCCGAGCCGCGAAAGCGGCGAGGTAAATATTCCCAAAGCCACTATTCACCGAGATTGAAAATAATAATTGTTTTAGTATATACACACGAGGTGATCTCAACAAAATCAGAGAGGAAACCATTAAAAAGTACAATTTAATTGACAGATCAAATCACGCGTAAGTTTAAAAAATGATTCTTTGCAGAATTTTCAAACATGGCAATTCACAAGTTTATCATTTCGCAAACAACAGCGTAATGGCTTAAATGGAACCGCTAGAAGTTTGAACTGTCTCTTTACCTGAGAAGAAAAGTGGAGCTTTGTTTTTTTCTGTTGACTAGCCAAGTTTATAGCCAAAAGGGCTTGTTGTGTCGTTCTTCGCATGAAGTGCTAACAAAAATGGCCGGCTCGGTCGCTCGAGGTAAGACGTCGTCTTCCTGTATCATTCTTTGTCCCGTTAACTTGAAACGTAGAATTTCTGCAAACATTTCCTTTTAAATTTGTTTGTCATAAATAAACTTCGATTTTTGAGCCAAAATTTTCTTCTTAGAAAACGCTGAGTTCACGAAACGGCTTATTCTACGCGAATACACGGGAGTTGTAAACAATCCATCGAGCACAAAACTCAGCTAAGGTAAATTGAAAAACGCCTTCCAAGTCTTTTCTTGCCTTACAAAAAGTCAGCGCTAGGATTTTGTCGACTTTTAAAAGATTGTTCTCTAAAAAAGGGGAAAAACACCGAGCTCACACATTAGCCACTCGCTAGGAGGTGAATATTGTTGAATAGTCCGAGATAGCGAACCAGTCAGATTGCTTAAATCACCAAGATCACTGAGTGTGTATATACTAATTTACGATATCTGTACGTTATTCCATGTTGTGACTCTAATGTTTCCGTATGCACTCAGAAACCAACAAACAGATCCCACTCGATGGGCTTAAAGAAGGTTAAAAACAATGGAAAATTTTAAAACCGTCAGCCCCAAAAAGCTACCCCGGCTCCAGAGGTCCGTTTTCGAAATACCAAGGATGAAATAAACCGTGCTCACGGTTTGATAAAGCCCCCGAGATACCGGAACTATCGGGAATTAGATAAGAAAAAAAAACCTCCGGAGTCACGGGGACCCAAAAGCTGTCGTTGTCGCGGTCGTTAAATGAAGAGAGGTGGTCGTTTACGAGAGGTTCTAATTACAGCCCGGTTTTGCCTGGGAACGTTGCAGTGCTTTTGATACATATAGGTGGTTGGGCACTTACGAGAGGTGGTCGCACATGGAGGTTTGGACAGTATACTTTTTTTTGTCAGTTTATGGAATCAGTCAGATAACAGTTAACGTCGAAAGAGGCTTCTCTGGTGTTATATTTTCGGGGCTTCTAGTTGCTCTTGTTTAGTATAACGTAATATGTGCCCGGCACCGGAAGTGATGTGATTTCTATTTTGATAGAGATCACGGGTTATTTATGTCCATACTGTCAACTGCGATTTCATGTTGCTCCCGATAATCCATCTTGGACAAACATGATTTCTCAGTTCAAGCAGATTGAACTCATACTGTTACGATCTTTGTAAAAGTATCGATTTCAGTCTCTAAAACACAGGGCTAGAATTTCAAACTTCAGAAGCTTGGAATTAAGCCTCATTAGATAGCTGGTTTTTGAGACTTTGCAATCAGAAGGTAGAAAAAGAGCTGAAAACCATGCATTTACAATTACTGCGAACTTTGAGGAAATTTGTATTGAACCTATACTTGTGACGTAAAAGGCTTTGAATACAAGTTTCCGCTTGTCAGATTCCGGAGTAGTGATTTTTAACTGCAGTGTAAGTTTGATTTCACCTCCTTTTTTTTATCCAGTGTGAAAGCTCAATGTAGATTTAAGCTTGATAAAGTGAAATCTTGTTTATTAAGTCTATTTATCAAGTGGTAAAGACTTAAAATTCAAGATCATATGGTGGATCATCTTGCATTTAAGATTTTTTAATGCACAAAAAAACCTTTGATTCAAGTCTCCACACCACAAAAACGGCTTCGATTGGAGTAGGAAACTCAAATCAGTCTGACATTGATTTAGATTCAAGTCTCTCTACCACAAAAATGTCTTAGATTGGAGTTTTCAAATTAAGGAAACTCAAATCTGACATAGTTGAGTAGCATTCAATATTTCTTATTCGTGATCCTTGTTAAATGCTTTTAAAATTTATGATTTTTTATCTAATCTACACTCATATTAGCAAGGTGTGAATGAAAATTGTCTCTTCTGGTTACTCCATATTAAAGCTTAAATTAATTGGTTGAAATATTTCCTCGATGAGCGAAAAAAATTGCAAAAATAGACTAAAAGAAGGGTTGGTATAGGCAAACTAATAGCTCGTCTGCTGTACATTAGTATATTATTAGGTAATAGAATGATTAGGAGTGATATTTGGCATAAATACCACGAGTGATAGTTCAAAAATTGATATACGTAATTTCACGAGCTATAAGGCGAGTGAAATTTGAGACAAATTTGAAATATCACGAGTGGTATTTATGCCAAATATCACGTACAAATCATGCTATTATTTGTTTATACTACTACCCGCAAAACGTTGTAATTTTCACATGTAGGTATTTCAAATTAAGCTGAAATACCACTGCTCTAAGCCAATCAAATTGCGGAAATTCCTCATGTAGTAGTATAAACTAACTAAGGGAAGAAATGTCTAACAGGAAGAGGCTTCAATTCACAGATCTGGTCAACATTGGTACTTTGGGCTTAAAGAGATATTCTTGTATTTGAAATGGTTGGATAGGTTGACAATAGCAGACAATTGAAACATATTTAGTTTGTCGTCATATTTAAGATATACATATTTCCTGATACTAATCTATTTCCTTTTTCATTGTTTGTAGGGCGATGTACAGTGAACTTGAGAATCGGAGCATTCTTG